AAACCGTGTCACTTTGCAGATGAACACAGCGTGGCTGAGGATCTTCTTGAAAGCTGGGTCTGAGGCGTTGAGTCTTCTCCTACGCTCGCATTCTAATGGACCTAAGGCTGTCTTGAATGATGGTATGGTTGGGTGTCTAGTCGAGCAGCCCGCATCGGGGCCATGACCACCCTTCTTGACCTGCAGTTACTCGTAAAGAAAGGAACCAACGTCAGTGAAATGTCCCAGCGTCTGATAAATCTACTAGTGAAGGAAGATGAGTGTGTTTCTTCCGGAACCTAATTGAAGCCACGAGGCCCATCCTCAAATCGAATCTGCATGGGTAAGCAGACTATTGATTTAAACTCCCCGCTTGAGGTTGGCATGGATACCTCGCTAAGGCCTAGGTTTCTGTGCATTGCACTATTTCGTTACAGTATAAGCCGCTTGCTTTCCCATGTCTCAAGCCACGTTGCTTGCGTCCATTTGATCGTCAAATATGTCTCCTCAACCCATCGCTGCCTACTTCTTTAGTCACGATAACCCCGGTCACTCTCCAGTAGGGCAACATGAGGGTGCCCGATATTCTGCTCCATTCCAGGACGACGCTTACGACAACGTGTTGGCGGTTGGGCCGCACCACGCGTTTTGGATCCCCTCCTTAAACGCTCCTCATCTTCGGATCAGTCATGATGCAGGATTCGTTGCATAGACCCATGAGAACAGGGCCTGAAGACGTGTCTCGATTGATTTAAAGCTATTTTATCAAACACGTCTATCCCCCACTATTAAAACTACAGTACCATCGATCACCTTCTACCTGTCCTTCATCCGGTCATTGACGCAAAGCTATTCATTCTGTAAGACCTTCCCCCAATCATGGGTCTATCTATCTTGAATATTTCCAACCTGCCCAACGGATGTACCCACCTAATAACCTCGACGTCACGCAAAGACAGACCAGTCTACGCGCTTGCGGGCCACACGGAGCACGCCAACTATGTCGAAAGGACGTTCTTGGACCAGATGTCTTACCCGTACGCTGAAATAGGGGTTGATAAAATTAGCTGCAATCTTCATCAAGCCTTCGGCGTCTCTCTCCCATTTCACCTGCGTCCAAACTGCGCCCTCCAAATAGACCTGCCGGATTCAGGCGGGGAAAAGATTACGGTATCTACATTCTTCAATGAAGCCGCCCTTCGAGAAGTCCAAACCATCGCACACCGTATATCCGAAGCTGAGGAGGACTGCAGCTGTGCACAATGTCAATCGAGCTTCATTGGCACTTCGGGGAAACCCTTCGGTCGCTGGGACATTCCACAAGATCGGCCTCGGGACCCATTATATAGCTTTATGCCGGCCACTGTTTTCAAGGTTAATGGCATAGGCGAAGTTGTAAGCGTGTATTACAGTTCATCGTACAGCTTCAGCATGATCAGCTACAAGTATGCAACCAATCTGGGCCATGAGCTGCAGCTACAAGGGGAGAGCGACAAACTTATCAACGTCAGCATCACTCTAGCGAAGCCAGGATTGCTTGCCTTAGCTCATGTCATACAATGTGCAGTTACGAAGCATATTCCGGTAGATATTGCCCTCAATGAGAACGATATGGAGAAACTACACAGTCATTCAGAATACTGGCATCGTTGTGCGGCAGTGGGGAGGCAATATCGACGCGGTCCAGCTGTGGCGATGGATCCTCTGAGCATGGGATCATCACTTCGATTAGCAGGCGTTGCTCGAGTCATCTTTCACGGGACGCATGGTATCAAATATCCATGTTGGGTCGTTCATGGGTTAGCATCCAAACGCAGCGAAATTAGCTCAACATTCCTTTTCCACGATCTGAATTTGAGCAGCAGTGCAGTAGCCTGTACAGGAGACGAATGCGTGCATCTACAAGTCGAGGGCAAGTCCGGGGAAATTGAGGATATCAAGTTCGACGTTATTTTCGATTTGAAGATGGTCTGCGCTGATGGAGATGGTGACATCATGGAAGGCTTCCATGTCAGCCTGACTCTCAGTGATTGGCAACGATTAACTGGACGGAGCCCGGAACAGAAGAACTGTAATTTCCCACCAATCTATGGACTCTACAACGGTGTGATTCTGAGAGAAGCCAGTGGTTCACAGTCAACAATATGTGTTGAGTTATCTAGATATAAGAACAGTACGATTCGTGGTCCCCTATTTCGATTAGCCCGAGGATGGTCCATGGATTTTAGCGGAGCGTACCTGATTGCCAGCAAGTCAAAGGTACCTGACCTGACCCTCGGCGCAACATCCACGAAGGTTTGAGAAATAACGGCCCCATCTTAAGATCTAGCTAATAATAATTTATAGGACCTCGCAATAAACTGTCAATGCGGCGATTCTCATGCCATCATCGCAGGGTAAAATTCAGGACTTCAGAGCGTGAGCCATAGATTAGCCATGCCCCTGCTCTCACCGTTCTCCACACCATCATCTGATCAGTAGTAAATGAATTGGCGGGAATATTAGGTCTCGAAAGGAAGAACGTTGCAGGATTATTGTATTGTGCGCGGGAACATGGTGGAATGTTCATATATCATACTCTCAGCACTAGCACGAGAGAAAGGGCCTTGGCGCCCTCCAATAGGTAACAGATCCTTCACGCTAGCGGTCTCGAGGTATGAATCATTATATCAATTCCGGTCACTTACAGTAAATATAGCGCGGAGTAAGTTTAGCTACTACCCCTATTTCACGTATTGACAAGTCTTAGCTTGGACATTTGTATGAGGGAGTTAGAAAGTGGAGATTCAACGGGAATGAGAAGTAGAAATTGGCAGTAGGCATGGTCACTGCGAATCAACATAGAAGCCACCGAAGGAGGGCACTGTAATTATCGCACCGAATAAATACTGGGGCATTCATATTTCATTTCAGTACTTATCTTTTGACTTATTTAACTCTGCATTTACGTAAGTGGACCCTTAAACCTAGATATTCGGTACATCAGTCTTTCTTTGGCATTTAAAATGTGACAAATAATTTCAGCACAGACTTTCCACTTCGCTTCCTGACCTGCAGTGGCAGTGCCTTTTTACTCAGTCCACCTCATCTCGCGACAGATGTTTGCAGAGCGAGTTTCCTTGTACCGTCGACGAAACGGACCTACCGTTGAAACGGAGACGCCTGAACAGGAGGAAGTGCGACGAGTGTAGAATCTCGAAGCAAAAAGTAAGTTATGTCTGTGTGTTTCATACTGTATCAAATCTAACAGTATTAAGTGCCTTCCGGAGGATCGAATTTGGCCACAGAAATGCTCTCTTTGTCTTCGAAAGAACCTTCCCTGCTCAGAGCCAAGAACAAGCGGTAGGAGGCCGAGAACGGGATCTTCGAATCAGCCTCAGCAAACCCCGACCGAGCACGTGTTGACCCCGGCGTCCAGGAATAATGAAGCTCAACAAAAACCGTACTATGAGTCGGCTTCGACCATGCTTTCCCCCTCTGATTACCATGTTGGCTTGATATGCGCATAGAGCGTTGAAATGACGGCCCCCATGGCCGTGCTGGATGACATGATGGGGGACAAGACCCGCAAGATCACAATAGTTACGTGTTGGGCCGCGTCCATCAGCACAATGTGGCGATAGCATGTATGCCCGAAGGGGTGGACGGGTTGGTGCCTACGGCCAATGTGGCCAGAGACATGGCGAGGACATTCCCGCGCTGCGTGTCGGGTTGATGGTGGGGATTGGTGGTGGCATTCCCAACCTCGCCAAGGGTATCGACATTCGCTTGGGGGACATTGTGGTGAGCAAACCAGAGAAGACATGGGGAGGGGTGGTGCAACTATGACAAGGGCAAAGCCGAGGAGGGAGGGAATACTGTGCTCAAAGGCCAGCTCAATCAGCCGCCTGCTCTCTTATTGCAGACCCTTGCTCAACTCCAGGCACGACACGGCATGCGTGCCAGTAAGGTATCAGATTATATCAACGACTGCAAAGCCCCCCACAACAAGCGCAAGCCACGTAAGAATCGCATACCGGTAACCCATTATGGGGTCATCGCATCGGGAAACCAGGTGGTGAAGGATGCAACCGTGCGAGACCGACTGCGGGATGAATTTGGTGCCTTATGTGTGGAGGTGGAGGCGGCCGGACTAGTGAACGATTTTCCGTGTCTGGTCATCCGGGGTATCTGTGACTATGCAGACGCTCACAAGAATGAGGGATGGCACGCATATGCAGCGATGACAGCGGCATCATACGCCAAAGAATTCCTTCAATACATCTCACCGACGCAAATGAAGATGGAAAGGCCCCTCCAAGACATAGTGGGTAAGTACAACCTATCAGTTAGGATAATGATGCAGTTCTGTGTCAGTGTATTCTCACATATACCTAATGTTCGAACTACCCTATAGCTTCGCTCGATGAGCGACTAGTTAAGCAATCGAGCTTACTGGGAGGGCACCTTCACGAGGTACAAACCAGCACACAAGAAACGTGATCCGCCGTACTATGATGATCAGTATCGCCAATGTCTTCGAGCATTTATGACGAGCTCGTACGAAGCGTTCAAGGACATCAATCCTGAGCGGGTGGAAGGTACTTGTCAATGGGTGTTGGCACACCACAATATCAACAATGGCACACAAGACCGCATGACGGTTTGCTCTGGATCTCGGCGGACCCTGCTTGCGTCAAATCTGTTCTTCAAGGACAATGAACAGGATGGTTTGACTGGAGGTCTTTGTGAGAAGCTGTTGAAAGAGGTGACGGAGCTATGGCGGACATTGTCTTAATCCGCCGAAAATTGAAAGAGAGATGATGCGAACACGTGTTGAATTCCTCTGCTTGGAGGATGTCGGGCCGACGGCACGGTCACTCGTTAAACAATTCAAAAATGATCAAAGAGCTGACGACATTTTAGACGAAGACAACCCGGTCCAAAGTCTTTTAGTCTATGCTGCAGAATACTGGCCATCTCACCTCAAGGAAGCATGGCTACCTGAAGATGATTTGATGATTACTCGGATTCTTCCATGTTATCAGGCGGACAGCAAGTTACACCATCTCTGGTTCCCAATATTTTGGAAAGCAACAAGGCCTTACGACAGTCTTCCGGAGATGAGTGAAATCCGACTTGCGGGGCTACTGGGCCATGAAAATATACTAGAATTGATGCTACAAGGAAATGAAGATATAGGCATCGACGCATCGGACAAGGATGGGCGGACAGCGTTGATATGGGCAAGTGAGTGTGATCACGCAAAGGTAGTGCATATACCCCATGCGTACAATTACCTCCGCCTCCGCCTCCCGTTTCTCTCTTCCATTTGCGTTCTTTCCGTGTCATACCGACAATCGGACCAACCTGCTGTTTACAATAAATCCATAGCCACACTGTGCTTTCCGTTCTTCCCAATCGCCTGTGCTGGTGGCGACTGACCTTAGACCAACCCAACTGAAGGACCTACTCTCTGCCGGCGGGATTCCTTGGCGGACAGAGAACTAGGGTGGGGGAGGTTAGTTGAAGCGAGTGGCCCAGGGGAACGTGTCCTCCTCATACTTGACGCAGCCATCCCGGAAATAGTTGTGGTCCCACGAAAGGCCGCCGCAAGAAATGTCGTCTAGAGACTGCTCTCCATGCTCCTTCATGAAAATGGGGTTACGTGTTTGGTCGTGACTGAATGTTGGCATGGGAGGAGGATGCGTCGAGGTGGACTGTGCTGCAGGTACTGAGTTTCGTAGATGTTGAGCTGTCCACGAGGAAGCGGCGTTAAACTCGCTATCGGCGTCGCAACGACCTGCATTTACACAGAAGCTCGCCTCCAGTGCAGAGACCGCTCGGGGTGGTGGAGATGAATATGATTGTTTTCCCCTGGTCCGGGCGCGGCTTAGCCGCACGTCCTTGTGACTATCGAATTGCCCGGGGCTCCCTCCTCGGACAATTACAGCACCAGACACCGCCTCCGCGATAGTGATCGTGGCGCCCGTGGACAGGTATGCTATGATCTTGAGATGGAGTGAGAAACACTGTCGGGGTTCTTTCC